GGTTCTCGTGATGACGATGGTAGTGGTGTGATATTTATGAAGGTGGTAGTAGTAGTAGTAAGGTAGTGGTTGTGGTGGTAAAGGCAGTAGTAGTAACGTGAGTGGTGGTAATATGGTGGTGTGGTGGTTGAGGTGGCGATCATGGTGATAGTGGTAGTGGTGTTGTGGTGGCAATAGGGTGGCAGTGGTGGTGACAGTGATAGGAAAATGGAATGGTGATAGTAGCCAAATAATAATATATTTTGTAGTGTTAACAAAAAAAAAATAATAATAATAGTAATAATAATTTTTTTTATTAATTCCATGATGGAATTAAATAGTTATTTCTTAAGTTTGAATAGGCATTCTCACATTTCGTTGGAATAGACATTCCAATGGAATGACTATTCTTACTTAGATAAGGAATACCAAATAAGGGAAAGTGAATGCAAAGCTGTATTGGGCATTCCATCGTAGCTCATTCCATCGTAACAAACGTGCTCTAAAACCTCTAATTCGTCAAGAAAAGAAACTCCAAGCTTTGATCCTTCAAGAGGTTAAGAAAAATCTAGAGTTGGAACTTCTTTTGAGCTATTTTCGAAGAAAGAGGAGTGGACGATCGAAGCTTTTTCCGATGAAGTAAGATGGCCAGCGGTGGTGGAGAAGGTGGGTTGGGGTGGTGGTGTAAGGGTGGAGTAAATGTGGGGTGTTTGGCCAACAAGAAAGTAAAGAAAAATGAGAGAAAGGTAGAGAGAAGTTAGAGAGAGAAGAATGAAGAAAAAATGAAATAAAAATCTGCAATTTTTTGTTTTGTTTTTTGAGTTAAAAGGTGATGTTTGGTCACTGTCACAACCTAAACCCGCCCCTATGGGTTTAGCACCGTAACCGGCCAGTAATTCGTGATTACCAAAGGCCTGCTTAACAGTAAAGACAATATTACAGAGTACAGGGGCTGGCAAAAGCCAAAACAGTAATTAAAAGACGTCCAATGAGCTGTGATAGTCTGTAAGCAAAAAGACTTTCTAGAACATATTTACATTCAGAACCAAAACTGTATATACAAACATCATAAACAAACATTCAGGTTAGGGACCAAATCCCTACCATAATAGTACAGTACAAGTCTTATTCAGTATTACAAAACAGAGACAGAAGGGTGAACTAAGACACCCCAAAAACAGCCGTGGCCTGAACGGACTCGGAACCTCGAAGTGAGGCACGATGGTTGGCTAGACAAAAAGAGAGTTTAACCCAACGTTCCTAGCTCCGGTCCGGTGCTTGAACACCTACATATAAATATAAACAGTGAGCCAAAGCTCAGTGAATAACATATGCGTAAAGAGGTTAAGAATGAATGTCCTTTCAGTATTTAAAACAGTCATTTACAATAGTATATCAGTCATTCAGTCTGTGGCTCATATTTCATTCCATAATAGTCATTTAGAAACCATAATAGTCATATGTGGTACAACCAATAGCAAAACAGTACAGTAGGTCTTAATAGACCGAACAGTCAGTTGATGGCCATTATATCAGTAAACAGTAGTGCTTCCAACACGGGAACCGACAGAAATCTCTGTAACAGTAGCAGTAGTAGTAACAGTACAGTAACAGTGAATTGCTATGGATGCCACGAATACAGTTCACAAATAGGACAAACATTCATTCAGTAAAAAATATCATTTCAGAAAGCAGTATAGTTGTTCATTCAGAAAGTATTCATGATTGAACATATCTTTACAACATTGTTACTCACAGAGTACTGGGCTATAGATAGGCTAGTGAGCGTCCTCAGATGCCAACCCTACACAGTTACAGACTGAACACACACTAAGTTACACACTTGGGAAACAATAACTTAGTCCCTATCTTGACTCAGTGTGGTTCTACATCAATATCCTCATTAAGATGCCTTAAACTAGGCCTAGGAATGCCTAGGATGAAATGAGGATGCAACAATGCACTTTAAAACACTTTTCAAATTTTTGCTGAAACAGGGGTCTCGCTCGAGCGTGGATTTTTGCGCTCGAGTGGACATGTAGACAAAGGAGCTTCGCTCGAGCGTGACTTCCTTCGCTCGAGTGGACTGCAAACTTCATGAAAAGTACTGGATGCATGCAATCCATGCTCGACGGACGCTTGACCTCCGCTCGAGCGTACATTCCCTCGCTCGAGCGGACTGTAAACATATGAAAAGTACTGGATACACGCATTTCACGTTCAAGCGTTACTTTTCCCGCTCGAGCAGACTGCATGAACTTAGAGTGTACGCTCGAGCGTGGAGTTCCCCGCTCGAGCGTGGATCCAAAATCTGGAATTTTCAGATTTGTCTCCAAGTACAAAACTCATTTTTTAAAGCTTCAAATTCGATCCTTTTGGGCCAATTTTCTGGAAAACACTTTAAAACCCATAATATGACATGTTTCAAAGATCAATTTACAAAACCAAGGCCCAAAGGTAGTTCAAATAAAATACAATTTCAACAAAACTTCATGAACATAATGTATATGTAACATGCAAGTGTTTAATTGAAATCAAAGCTTTCAATACAAGATCAAATGAGCCAATCCTTCAAAAAACATGATGAATTCATGAACTATAACCCAAATATAGACATGCATGTAGCAAATTTCATGGAAAAGACCTCAAAACTTAAGAATGTGTACATGCATGCATGGAATCACTCTTAATTCAACACTTTAATTTAATTCTAGACCTTAAGCTCCTATTCCTCCATGAATCAAGCAAGAAATAACTTGAATTCATAAACAAGAAGGTAAATATCCTGCCTTAGGTCTTCAATTTTAGGTATAGAAGCTTAATTAGGCAATCAACCTTCAAATCTTCTAAGTTTCCAAGCAGAACTCTTGATGACACCAATTTTCCTCTACTCTCCCTCTCTCTCACGGTTTGGCCGAAGGAAGTGGCTGAAAAATGATGTATGAAGGTGCCAAACAAAGTTTGTAGGAAATGGCTACTCAATGGCAATTTGGTAAAAAGTGCAAACTAATGTGATACAACTTTATTTAATCTAATTTAATCATTCCCAATCAAATTTAAATTAAACCTACCATAAAATCACATAAATTCCAACTAGCATAAAACACTAATCGGTTTCGGATTCGGCCGCCGATAAGGCCTTCAATTTGCAGTTTAAAACATAAAACATGAACAGATCAATCAATTGATAAATAGATAGAAATGCAATCAAACAAAATACTCATGCAATCAGTTTAGGATTTCATCATAATCGGTTACTTATCATGTTCAGTCACAGTTTAGCAGTAATCAGAGGTGAGAGTTGTCACAGTCACACCTACAATTAAGTTTGGAATTGGATTTAGATATCCTAAGTGACTTTTGACTTGGGGGCGTGTTTGGCTCCAGATAAATGTTGGGTATATTATGGGTCCATTTGTTTTGGGTTATAGGAAATGAGATTGAATTATGATGTATGTGGGGTCCGTTAATATTATATTTGTTTATAAAATGGGGAAGACGATTCACAATACTTTGGGATTATAATAGGTTTCCGTAGATGTGTTAGTAATTCTCCATGGGAGATGATATTAGAAAAGCAATCCCTTCGGATTAGAGAAAGATCTATTATTTTGCCCTCTATTATCGTACCTAATTTACTTACTCTACTTAATTAGTATGGTCTTTACTTTACTATTTTTTTTAAAAATTATTCTACTATTTTTTACTCCACCATTCTTTATATTAAAATAATTTAATATAAAAATAATTTTTAATATAAAAATATAATAGTATAATAATATTTATATCAAAAAAATTATATTAAAAAAATAAAAAATAGTACCAAAAAAATATATATTTATGAAATATAATTTTTAATATTAAAATATAATTTTAATATTTATAAAATATATATTCAATATTAAAATATGTAATTATTAGTTAGTATAAGTCCAAATATTATAGTAATAAAACAAGAATATTTGTGAAATTTTAGATGGCTAATTTCACTCATATCTCTCAAAATAAAGTGAAACCATTACTAATGTACTAATTATTAGACAAACATAATTTGGTTCGGTTTTGAGAAACAAATTTTGGAGAAATTTTTTTTTTGGTTTAATGATTTTGGAAAAAAAATTTGAAAATCACTTTCTATTTCTTACACATTAATCAATTACTTTTTCTCTCTCCTCTCTCCTTTTCAATTACTATTTACACACACATCTACTTAATTACAATAAAATATCAAATCATTCAAAACTTCTATACTTCAAAACTATTTCCAAAATGGAAAAAGATTGAGAGCTCTAAATATGGAGCTCTAGAAGGGCTCTAATGAGTTGGTATCCACCCATGATGTGATGTTTGTGCCTTACAAAAATGCTTTAGACCACTAATTAGTGGTGGCTCTAATGATGTGGCAGTGGATCCCACCCACTGCCACATGTGTTTTGTGCCTTGTTTTATTTTATTTTTCTTTTTTTTTTCAATTGCCACCTCACTAGTGGTGGGATTAGTGATGACAAATTAGTCATTGTTCTTGTGCCTTACTTTGTTTTTTTTTTTTTTTTGGCTTTGACACATCACTAGAGCTCAAATTAGAGCTTTAGATTTAGAGCTCTGTATCATTTCCCTTCTAAAATATACAATCAAACAAACTAAATTTTTTTTAAAACTCTTTTCTAAATTTTTTTTTGGTTGAAAATTTATCTCTCAAACCAAACCAACCAAACCAAGCAAGGCGATTGATAAATTTAGCCTCTGTTTGGCAAGTTGGGTTAGGAGCTTTTTTGACTATTTTAGCCACAAAAGATAAAATAGGCTATTTTAGTCACAAAAAATGAAACATCATATCTAACCCATAATCATTACACTCTTCTCTCACAAAAAAACCCAAAAAAACCAAAAAACCAAAAAGTCTTTCCCAAATCAAACTTTTTAGCCTAAGCTAAAATAGTCAAAAAAGCTAAAAAGCCAAAAAATCAACTCATTTCCCAAACCAACCCTTAGTCGCTTCACTAACCATCCGTGTATATATGTCCTCTTCTATTCATTATTACAATTTGCAAGATCTGCAGATAGGTGAGCAAAAAGCTAAGGTGAGCTATTCTTCGCTTAAATTATTGTTGTTTCACCTCATCCTTCATTTAAACAAACTACTATAAACTCTTACATCAAAACTTTGATTGATAGTTATTGTTTCATTTCTCTTTCTTTATGGGGTGATCATGTTCTGTTTCAATTTGATAACTACACTATGCAAAAGCTGATCGTTTTCATTTTTTTATTGTTGAGGTTTGGTAAGACATTAAGCTATTTAAAGCTGAAGAAAATTGATTTGGAAATTCTTGTGAATCTTGTTGGTGACAAGGAAAGATATTTAAAATCTCACATGGTGCTAAAATCTTGGGATCTTAGAGGTATCTCTTTTTATTTTCCGGACTTATTTATCTAATGCTTTTTTCTCTTAATATTTTCGTAGATCTTTTTAGCATCAATGCAGGATTAAAGCAAAGTATTGTCTCCTTTATGATTTTTTTCATGTTTCTGCAGAAATTTCTTTTCTGTACACCCTTCATCCAAAGTTGAATATCTCTATCTCACCCTGACTCCGGATTGAATAAGATTGATGGTGTTGAAATTTTATCGTTCATATCTAGATCAGGTTATTCTCGACATTGTTTGAGAGGTAAAAATCTACGTAAGTTCCCTTCTCTTTTTCAAATCAAGCTCTTTGAATCATAGATTTAGGTATGAATTTAAAAAAAGAAAAAAAAGGAAAAAAAGAAAAAGAAAATTGTGAGACAATTGTTAATAAAATATAAGTTAAATTTTTTATTTTTTTTTGTTTCTCTTTTATTGTCAAATTTTTATTGAGATCTATATCCAAATATAGTGTTATTTCTTTGTTTGAAATTTGCATTCAATCAACGAAGCTGTGTTTGTATGTTACATTGACGATATGAATATAGATGGAGTTGTGTCCTGGACCGAATAATAAATATATACTCAAAATTTTATTTGAAAATTTATTAGAAAATTTTCTTTCAAGTATTTGAATCCAAATTAATAAATAATATATTCTTGTATTTTAATAAGTCTTATTATTTAGATATTTGATTCATTAAATTTTAATTCTCATATTTAAGATATTTTTTTGAAAAATTAGTGATATAATCATTTATATTTGACAATATGAATGTTCACATTGACACGTGAATATACACATTAACAGGGTGGATATTCACATTATGATCCGTTCACACTATCACTGTTAACATTAATGTGCATTACACTATTATTATTAGAGGTATTTTAGTAATTGTGTCACTTATAAGACTTAGTAGAATATAAAAAAATAATTTAAATTAAGTAAAATATAAGGAGGTAAAAAAGAATTTACAAATAAACACCTCAATTTTATTCAACATTATTTAATTTAATTTTTAATTTTTTATTTTTATGGATGGACCTAAAAAACAGCTCTTGAATCTCCATCACAGGTTTAAAATATGGACAAATTTCGTATTAATTTTTTGGACTGTAAATTTTGTGGTCCTGGACCTCCTTAACTTAATCTTAAGATATACAAGTATTTGAAGACTAGATTACTCTCTTTTTTCCGATGTATCCCACAAAAAAAAAAAAGAAAAAAAAGAAGAAGGTAGATTATCAAGTTTTGGAAGGTTACCATAAGCTCCATGTTTAGGATTCCAATTCATGTGTATTATTTTTTAAAAGTAAATAACAAACATAATTTAAAAATACATCATTAATTTTTTAAAGATAAATACATTAAAATTATGTAATTATATTTATCGAATCAATATAATTTTTTTAAGAATAATTTAAACACACGTATTTAAAAAAATATAATTTGAAAGGTAAATTACATTAAACCCTCTCAACTATGACCTAGTTTTGAGTTGTCCTCTTAGGGTGTGTTTGTTTGGACGGACTGGATAGGGGGGATTATAATCCATCGAACTGTTAGTCCCGGGATGCATTGTCCCCGGACTATTTGATTGAATTAGATTTGTATCCTATGTTTGTTTAGTCATGGGATTAGATGTTTGGATTGGACTATTTTTAGTGAATTCAATGTTTGGTTAGACGAACTGGATAAGGATAAATGTTCAAAAGACTATTTTACCCTTATAATTTACAATTTTTATTTAATATATAATTTTAAATTTGTAATCTATAATTTATAATTTATAATTTAACAACACTAAAAAAATTTAATTTATAAGGCCATAATTTATAATTTATTATTTTTAATTAAATTTAATTTATAATTTATAATTCAAATTTTTTATTTCATATATAATTTTAAATTAAGAACACTAAAAAAATAATTTATAAATGTTCAAAAGACTATTTTATCATTTTCTAATTGCTTGCTAAGCAATAGCATTGGGTAAAATAGACATTTCAAAGCTTAATCCCATGGGATACCAATCCTATGAAAACAAAGGGATAGGATAGTCCCACAAATATGAGACTAATAGTCCAGGGAGACTATTAGTCCAGAGCAAAAAAAATGAAATAAACAATAAACTATTAGTCCGGTAGGACTAATAGTCCAATCCCACGCCCTGATCCTTCAAAAACAAACGCACAATGTTTAAAGGCCAACACTGACCCCCCTTGAAGTATATGAGTGGCAAAAGTCACTAACAATATTAATAGAAATTATTAATTTACCTTTTTACCCTTCAATTAATTATATTGCTACTAGACTACCATTATATTCTTCAACAACTACCTAATTTCTTCCCAACCCTAATCAAATCAATTCAATCCCAAACCCTTAATTCGACAGTGTCTCCACAATTCCAATTAACAAACACAACAAATTCATTTGACAAAGGAAGTAAAGTCAGCCACTGTGAATCACCACAACAATTTCATATTTTTGCTGGACCTAATGATCAACAAAGGGAGTGAAGTTTGGGGGTGGCAATGGAGATGGGGGTGTTATGTTGCAGGTAGGGAGGACGAAAGACTTGGTTTTGAACTCAAGAGAGAGAGAGGTGAGGGGTTGGCGGTGGCTACAACGGCTTACGGCGATGGCAATGGCGACAACGGTGGTTGAAGACAATGGCCCACCTCTCTTCATCTTACCCGCCACATGCAACTCCTCTTCCAGTTTACACCAGCTCCTCCCATCTCTGCACCACCACCTTATCTCCCCCACCACTCACCACCTTCTCTTTCGATTCCCACCAAGCCAAAACCCCCTCCCCACAGCATCCCTCCCACTGATCAAACACCCCAATACACATTGAAACCCCTCAACACTAAAACCCCTATGTCAATTCCCCATATGTCCACTAAAATCCCCCCACCTAATCAACGTATCACCATCAAAACCCTCAATTCTTTTGCTGTGAAACTTTTTTATCAAATTATAGTGGCTTGACTAATAAGGGTTCTCTAGTTGGCATTAGCCATGAGAGTTTCTGGTTATGGCTTGGCATTTCTGGCCATGGAGAGTTGCCGGTTGTGTATATATATACAATGTGTGTATGTATAATAAAGCTATTTTGTCATAAATTTTTATTGAGTAATGCTAGAGATCATAAAAAAATATCATGAGGATGATCATGAAAGATTTTCTACCTTTGGATTATACACACAATAAAACACCACACACTAATCAACACTAATCAAAGGATGAAAAATTTTATGATACATTTCATGATATTTTTTTCATGATTCCTAATATTACTCATTTTTAATTACAGTATGATACATTTATGCCAAATGACTACCGGTTTGATGACAGAAGAGGTTAAGAGTTACGAAACAAAATTATAATGGTGTTTTTGTTTGGAAGATTGAATAATGGGGAATTATAATTTCGAACAGTTAATTTTGAGATATATGTATTTCAATCCTTTCAAACAAACACATCTTAAGATGGTTGAATTTTAAACATTAAGGAATAACTTAAAAATGGGTCATAATTAAGAGGAATTTACTATAATTTATCCTAATTTGAATCAATAAAACGAAGTTTGGGGTGGCCCCACAAACCAAAAATTCGACGGTTTAATCTTAGAATCCTTTAGCTGACTAGAGCCATGCCAAGGGATATGCACAGTAGCATATTTTGAACATTTATTTATATCTTATATTGTAATAATAGTCTAACATAAAATGTTATTAATATTAGGAATGTAATTCAAATTGAATAAGTTTTAAGGTTAAACTGCACTCTCTTTTTTTTTTTTGAAAAATTTTATCTTCTTTGATTTCAATTTTTTTAAATTTAATTTTTTGAAAATTAAGTTTTTTATTTTTAATATTTTAAGAAAAATTTTATTTTTTAGATACACTTAATATAAATATAATTAAAAAAATATAATTATTGTGAAAAAAATCTTTACAAAATTCATTCAATACCAAAAATACAAAAAAGAATACAAAAATTCAGTATATTTTTATATTCTTATGTATTTATTATTTTGTAAAATATTTTCTTACAAATATTTTACTTTTTAGGTGCATTTAGGTTAGAAGCATCTAAAAAGTAAAAAAAAAATTACTTAAAATGTTAAAAAAAATTCATTACAAACAAAAAAAAGAAGAAAATAAAAAACTCAATTTTCACAAAATTGAACCAAACAAGATTGCTAGAATAAATTCATATTAAACCAAGTCCATATGAAAATATTTTCAAAATTTAAGTCCCTCAGTTATTAAATTGGGAGGCACTTTCTTTCTGGTCCATAATTTGGATTGGAAATCATTGTTCGAGACTGTGGATCCTACCATGGGTTCCATTTCAATGTCGAACTATTCATTTTGTTAGGTAGTTCGTGTACATCTCGCACACAAAAAATTAGATCAATTTGATAATCATTTTTTTGCTTTTGTAAAAAAAAGAAAAGAAAAATGGTTTATTTTAAAGACACAATTGTTGTCCTGCCTCCCCCCCCTTTTTTATTGACAAACACAATATAAGTTATGATTGTCGAATCAATTTGATTATTATTTTTTTGAATTTTCATCCCAAGCAAAATATTTTCTTTTCACCTGTTTCGTGACAAGTTGAGAGGCACAAAAAACTTGGACAGACTTCGCCTCGAGTGTTCTTGCAATTGTAAGTCCATTGATCAGGGCCTCATACTCGCATTCATTATTGGTTGTTGAGAAGTTCAGTCGAGCTGAACATTCGAGTATTTCTCCATTGTGAGTGCTTGAGAAAAACCCTACTCCTAATCCTTTGCTATTTGAGGTCCCGTTGCACCATAAGATCCACGGTGTATCTGACTGGCCATGGTTCTACATTTTCATCCCTTCCACTTCTTGTTCGAGTGTGAACTCTGCTATGAAGTCTACCAGGATCTGTCCCTTGATGGCAGTTCTTGGTCTAAACTATATGTCGTATTGTCCGAGCTTAACCTCTCATTTGGAGATTCTTCCTGATAAGTCTGACTTGTGAAGAATCCTTTTGAGTAGATGTTCGGAATTCACGATGATGGGACAAGCCAATAAATAATGCATTGACTTCCTGGAAGTGATTATGAGTGCTAAAACAAGCTTTTCTAGGGGCAAGTATCTTGTTTTCGTGTCGAGCAAGGTTTTGCTTACATAGAACACAGGTGACTACCTCCCTTAATGTCCTAAATAGTGGTGAGCTTACGGCGTGATCAGAGACTGCCAAATAGACGTATAGCA